TGCTCAATTCCAGTATCGTGCGGATTCGAGGTTGACAGCCACACTGCATGAGCCTACCAGCTTGTGCCCAGCCAACTCGAGGAATCGGGCTGCGGCCATCGAGCGTCGGCTTAGCTTAACCACGTTACAAACTAAGAGTTCGGGGCGAAGCATAATACATGAGGAAGGCGTGCGCCCTTTTCTCGCAGGCGATTTCAATCCCCGCTCTCCGCTCCGAAAAGCTGGCCGCTCAGAAAAGGCTGGAAATTTTGGGATAAGCCCCCGCGTGGCGTGTTCGCCGGTTCTCAGCAGTGTCCTGACATCCAGCACTTGCGCATCGCCTAAAGCCTTCTGTCGTTGCCAAGATCGTCCCGAACGGCCGCAGGAGAGCCGAGTGAGGGTCCGAAACCACAGGGCCATGTTGGGGGGGGGGGGGATAGGCTCAGGCCCCCGATCGCCCATTCATCGCCGACAGGAGCCCGATGGCCCACCACCGCCTGGCAGAGTGCGGATTCGCTGTTTGGGGCCTATCGGCGATCTATCCGCGATGTACAGTGGAGGCCCATGCCAAGAAACACCTTGTTTGCCTCCAGGGTGTTCGATGGTTTTGCGATGGAAAGCGTTCTGTTCCCGCATCAAGAATCCATGGACGTCCTGGGGTCTCAGGGTTGAGTTTCTTGTGGAAGGTTTCTTGTGGAACGGCCCCTACTGTATCGTCGATTCCTGGTCGACGGTTGCCCCCCTGGAGCCGGTCCCCCCCCGAATATTCCCCCTGAGGCGGTGGCGCGAGGGCGCGAAGATTGCCGCGCGTCGCTCCTCGCGGGGCGCGGCGCGCGGAGTCGGGTGGCCTGCGGCAGGTCCGTGTCGTGCTGGCGCGGGCGATCCAGGTCGGACGTTTCCGGTGGCCCGGTGGCGGCCGACATCGAACAGTCCGCGCTATCGGAAATCCGCTACCTCTGAAGTTCCCAAGGATACGCGAAGAGAAACCAGGGCAGAAGTCGCCACGGCACGAGCTTGCCGTGGAGGCATCCGCGGAGTTGCTCCCTGGAGGGCCTTTGAGACCCATCGAGGGACAAAAGCCACGCCGGTGCCAGCATGGTCTGTGTAGCTCGCCCGCTCGCTCGCTCGCTCGCTCGCTCTCTCTCTCTCTCTCTCTCTCTCTCTCTCGCTTGTCTCTGGCCAGAAGCCCAGCGGGGGTGTTGCGAGAGGCGGGGTCTTCGCCGTCGGCGTCGAGGGGTGGAGGGCTGGCGGGGAGGCAGGGCGGGTGTGCCCCTCCGCCCCCGCCCGCCCGCCCGACGCGGCGGCGCTGCTCGACCAAGACCCAAGGGACCTCCCCCCCGTCGCTAACGTACGCTGTCGCCTGCGTGCGTGGAGGGGTTCATTCTGCACTCGGAATTCAATGCAAGGATGCGCCGTTTCATCAGTGCTGCTTTTGCGCTCGATTGTGCTCCTCTCCCACACCAAAAAAAAACGCGCGAGCTCGAGCCGCGCCCACCGCGCCACGGGCGCGCACCGCGGTGCGCAGCCGCGCGCGCGGGGGCCGCCGTCGGGATGCCCCCGCCGCGGCCCGCGGCCCCGCCGCGGCCCGCGGCCCCGCCCGCGCGCGGAGGCCGCCACCGCCGTGGTCGTCGCCGCCGTGGTCGTCGCCGCTGCCGTGATCGCCGTGGTCGAAGTCATCGCCGCCGCCGCGGCCGTGGTCGCCCAGTCGCCGTGGTGGTCGTCGTGGTTGCCGTCGTTGTCGTCGTCGCCGCCGTCGTCGCCGCCGCCGCCGCCGCTGCCGGCGCCGCCGCCGCTGCCGGCGCCGCCGTCCCCAGGCGTCCGGCTCCCAGAAAAAAGGGCGGCTGGTGTTGTCGCCATTTGTCGGCCCTTGTCGGCCCGCTTCGCGCCTCGGGGCCACTCGGGATGAAAAATGAGTCCCGGGTGCAGTCGGACCGAGGTGTAAGATCGAAGTCGGTTTGGGACGGGTACCCTAATGTTCTTCGTCTTTGTTGGATTTCTTCGTGTTTGTTGGATGTTATTGTGCATACTGGGGGAGGGCACCCTCGAATGATCTCAGGGTTTGGGGTGTTTCGGCCGGCGCAGGGTCTCATGTTCTTGAAGGATGTTCTGCTGCCTAGGTCCAACTGTAATGGGCCCAGGCATCGGGGGGTCCGCGTTGCGAAAGAAGCACGGCGTTGAAAGCCCGGGTTCGCCCTCCTCGTCCGTCGCCCGTCCTCGACGGGGAAGGTGCACGCTCTCGGGCTGTTTTCTGCCGTCGTCGCCGCCGCCATTGATGTCAAGGCCCGAGCGCGCAACACCACTATGTGTCGCCGTGGCCCCCAGGCAGCGAGCTTTTGCGCTGGACGTGCAGGCCATGTGGTGGAAGCTGTGTGGCGGAAGCTTGGTGGCGCAAGCGAACTGCGTGATGCAAGCTGCGGAGTGCAAGCTGTACGGGGCGACCTCGGGCGCTCACCAGCCGAAAGCTTGGAAGCCCATGCCAGCGCACCAGGCGCCCACGTTCGGCCACGGGTGGCGACCGAGCGAAGACCGGGAAGCCCGTGCCCGCGCACGATGCGTCCACGGGCGGCGATGTGGCGAGACCTGGACATGGCAGCCAGTTGCCCAGAGAAGAGACACGAACAAGCACCATCTCGAGAGAACGCTTCGTTGTTCTTCAGGACGTTGTCGGAGGCCTGCAAACGCCAGCGTCGTTTGCCCGATCCCCATCGCCGTGGGGCCATGGCATCTCAGCCCCGCCAGGTCACTCTTCCAAGAAGGACGGTACATATGCCCACCTGGGGGGTAAATCGGTCAGTCGGGCCCCGGCCAGGCCAGTGGGGGGTAGGGATCGGTTGAACGTTTCTCCAAACGGGTCCTCAAGATCGACCCCTGGGCCTCACCTGGGCCCAAGCCAGCTTTTCGTTCCGAGCCGCACCCGGCCGTGGCGACGGGGAGCTTACAGGCCACGCCCACAAAAAGCCCCCAGAACGACGACGCCCGAGGCCCCTGCATGTCCCGCCACCTCGGCCGCCGCCGCGCTGCCGCCGCCGACCCACCGCCACCGCAGGTGACCTGCAATCTCTGGAGGAGGATATGCGAATCCAAGGTATCTTTCTTTCAATTCTGCTTCTCGCCCTGCTATATATAGCATAATGTAGTGTCAGGTAATATAGTCTCATAAATGAATAAATAATTACATATATATATATATATATATATATATCAACATCCACATCCACATCCACGAGGCCCGGGGGGCCAGGGTCAGGGGCTCGACAACGCATGGGGGACCCTGAGGCCCCAGAGGTGCCCAAGACTGGCCCAGAGAGCCACGGCTCGCCCCCGAGCCGCCAGAAAAGCATTTCCAGACGCTTGTTTCCAGACGCTTGTGATCGCCTCCAGATCGTCCATAAAGCTCCCTAGGCTCTCCACAAAGGCGTCCAGACGGCACAAAACGTCCCTCGGACGATGCAAGAGGATCCCCAGACGCCCCTCAAGAGGGCCTTGAAGGGCAAATCTCAGTAGTTTTCAATGTGTTTGCTTGCCACAGGGGCACGGTGGCGGATTTACAAGTGCTTACATATACATGTACATGTGTATATACGCATGTATGAAGAGATGCGTGTACTTATAATCCAGAGACGTGGACATGCATCCAGTTGCTTGCTGCACGTCTGCCACCGAGCCAGCCCAGCACTGGGTGGCGACTAGTTCTGGGAGCGCACAGGACGGCGTGACCTGTGACACCTCATGCCTCGAGGCCCTGGGGAGCCGTAAACTGTGGCACGGTCGTCCGCGTCGTGCCGGATGTCTCTGTTCTTGTTCGGTACCTCGGGGGCCCCCAAACGGGGTGGTGACCACACCGTGTGGTGAGTCGGCTTGTTCGGTATCTCGGGGGCCCCCAAACGGTATGGTGACCACACCGTGTGGTGAGTCGGTGGGGATTCGGGGTCACCGCACGGTTTTGGGAGTTGGGTCGTTCTTCGAGGATGTCTCGGGCGATTGGGGCATCGGAGGTCCCAAGACCGTGAGTTGACGGACCGTGCGGTGAGGTCTTAGGGGATTTCGAGGTCACCGCACGGTCTGTCACCGCACCGTTTCGGGACTCCACAGTATCGTCTTCCTCCCGTCCTCTTCTTCCTTCCTCTCTTGGGGCCTGTCTGGTGCCTTCTGGGGGCCTTTGGGGGCGTCGGGCGGTCCTTACAATGTTTTTGCGCGGCTCTTCGGGCTGTCTTGGGTTCGTCCTGGGCAGTTTTGCCCCTTCGGAGTCCGTCTTGGGGGCCTTTCTCGGCCGACTTGGGCCGCCTTGGGACCTCTTGGGCCATCTTGGGGGCTGCTGTGCCGTCTTGGAGACCTCTGAGACCGTCTTGAAGCCATCTTGGGCAGTCGTGGGGCAAGATTGGGCCAGTTGAGCGGTCTTGTTGGTCTGCCTGGTAGGTCCTTGGAAGAATACCGAAACCCTACCAGACAGCAATTGGCATTCTGCCACGCCTACGTACCATAAGGGCACGGTTGCGGATAACGGGAAGCGGTTCCGGCATGTATCTTTCGTTATGTGGGATTTCTTGTGTCTAATTCATAGGATCCCCGGTGCACCTCGCTGACGGATTTCTCCCAGGGGTCCAAGAACATATTTTGTCAATGCAGAGGGGTTCGGGCAGAGGTTCATGTCTGATTCGTTCAGGCCCCAGAAGGCCCTGAAAAACGCCCCAAAGGGGCCCCGCAGAGACGCCCAAGAGGCGCCCAAGAAGTTCCCAAGAGGCTTCCAAAGAGCGCCCTGAGAGGCCCCAGGCGGCCTACGAGAGCCGCAACAAGGTGGAGCAAGCGGGCTCCAGGCCAGTCCGCACTTCATCAACCTTCAATGCAGATCAGTCGAGTCCATAGGGGACGAAACGCTAGCCTGACACTGCACTAGATTGCATCATCGCGCGTGGTAAGTCTTCGTGCTGTGAACAGAATGCCCCCCCAGGAAGTCCCAGCTGGCCTCAACGGACTACTCGGGGGGGCCTGTTGAGGCCAGCTGGGATTGCTCGGGGGGGCCTGTTGAGGCCAGCCGGGACTACCTGGGAAGATTGTCATTGTGCAACCCGAAGCTTTACCAACTTGCATCGTCGCGCGCTCACCGTCCAGATTGATTGTCTCAATATGATCGGGTTCACGGGTCGCATTCGCGGCCAGCCGCGAGCGTTTTTGGCTCAAGCATCTTGGCCTGAGCTCTTGGTGTAGCCCCCAGAGCGGTGCGGCCACTCACCGTCCCAGGCGCGAGAGCAGCGGCGCCAAGCAATCAGTCTCATGCACAGCGGCCGCGACAACGGCATGCAGTGCACTTGCCAGGCTGACGGAACAAGATTGGTCGTCAATGCTCGTTTGTTGAAGTTAGTGGGCGTCGGGCCTGGACTCGGCCGCAGCAACAGCGACGGTAATCTTGGGAGCGCCGCTGGGGGATGCCTCCCGCGGCTGGACCCTTCCCAGAGTGCGCGCGACAGCGCACCAGGGAGGCCTGCGCGCGTGCACGACGACCAAGCCGGGAGCTCCAGTGGGAGCGACACCACTCACGGATCGTTCTCAGAAGATATTCCCTCCGCATCGGGCAGCTATTGTTCCTTGTCGGATCTCAGCGGCAGCATGCGGTGGTTCAGCGACTGCAGCGAGAACGAGAGCAGCGGCGGCTCGGCGTCGATCAGCTCCCACTCCGAGAACCACAGCCCTCGGTGCGCCGAGGAGAGCGAGGTCGACGAGCAGCAGGTTGCAGAATGGCTGAAGGCCAACGAGGCTCAGCACGCCGCCGGGACCTGCAAGCCGTGCCTCTTCAACGGGACGGAGGCAGGCTGTGCGATGGGCCGCGCGTGCAGGTTTTGCCACCTGCCGCACGCGGCCAAGCGCAGGGCGTCGCACAGGAAGGCCGAGAGTATGCACTGCAAGCAGCTGGTCGCGAAGCCGGACTGCAAGTGCGAGGGCGACGCGGAAGCCGCGTGGGACTCGGCCGACGATTGCAGCCTGAGCCGGCGGCAAATGTTCAGCGCCTTCCAGGAGGGGGACCAGCAGCAGGGCCCGCCAAGGGCGGAGCTGGGCGGTCTGACGCGCGCCGCCGCGGGCGAGAAGCCGAAGCAGCCGCCGAGCTGCGGCTAGAAGCGCGCGGGTCCGTGAGGAGCGGGAGGGGGGAGCATGTCGGGTGGGCCCAGGACCAAGACATATCGTTCCAGAGCGCTCCAGGAGCGCTCTCGGAGCCTTCCGCAGCGCTCCGGAGCGGCCGCGACGCCCGATGCATCCTCCAGAACCACCAGATCTCAGAATTTATCCCGATTCGATCCCCAATCTTGACTTCGTCGTAGCACGGGAGAGGGGGGGTAAGCAGACTATGGCTGGACGGGAGGGGCTGCCCGAGCGGTCGAAGGGGCACAGAGCCAGGATCTTCGTGGCAGAGAGGCCGCCGCCGCGTCATACGCTTGTTAGCTGAGCTGGGCTCTTCCGTCGCAGTTCGGCCAGAAGGATTTGAAGCATGAAGATCTTAGTGCGTCTGTTGGCGATGCTGGCACACATCATATGTTACAGTCATTCGTTTGGGCCAGCTTGAGGCGTACCATGCACATCATGTTCGTCGTGTACACCTTAAGTGTCTCAGTGCTACTGCGCACTTCAATTACAGAAGTTACCGGTTAACTCAATGATTTGAAGTTGAAATGACGATCATAAATTGAAATTGGTTTCGCCGATTGTAATTTGTTTGCGCATGTTGCATTGCGAAGGCCTTACGGCCAGTGCCGCCGAGCTTGAAGGGAGATGACGATGACGACAACGGCGGCGGCGACGACGACGATTCTGACGTGGGCCAAAGTCCTCATGGATGCTTCTTGGGGTCTCTTCGAATTCTGGGGCCTCTGGGGAGCCTCTTGGGGGCTCCTTGGAGGCCTCTTTGGACCCTCTTCGGGCTTCCTGGGGACCTCTTGTGCCTCTTGGGGCCCCTTGGGAACCTCTTGGGGCCTCCCGGGAGCTTCTCGGGGCCCAGGGCTCGAAATGTCCGTTCGGGTCCCCCGTCTGGGCACGCTCTTGAAGCCGCCTTGGGGGCAGTCTTGGAGGCGTTCAGGGCTGTCTTGGAGTCCTCTTGGGCTGTTTGGGGGCCCTCTTGGCAAGCCCCCCCTAACCCCCTTCGGACCCCCGCCCCCCGGACCCCCCCTGCCCACCCCAAACCCGCCGACGGGGGAGGGATCAACGGGAAGGGGCTTCCTTTCGACTCGAATGCGACATTGTTAGATTTGTCTCTCGCCGGCAAGCTTGAGAAGGAAGTTGTCGGGAAAGGGGACGACGGAGACGACGACTGACGGAGACGACGACTCGAACAGGCAAGCCCCTCACACACGCCGACAGGGTCGGCGAATTTCCATCTATTGACCGGTACACTTTTTATGCTAGGTGTGATGTGTTTGTACCGCAATGTCTGTATTATGCACCTTCTGCTAGGTGTCATGACCACTTTCGCGTTATAATTTCAAAATCGCTATGTATCGGCATTAAAGTTTCGATCCAAATCCACATTTCCTGGTCGATCAAACAATGCGTTCCTTCGTTAATTTGGCTTGCAGCCTGAAGGCCTTGAACAGAGATCATGTTTCAAATCCTCATGGCAATTCGGGCGCTGGCCCCGGGCTGTACGCGCGCCTGGTCTCGGCGGGCGAGTGCCGGAGGTGGACATGGAATGGGGCCCCAAGTCGCTTGCCATCCACCCGACCGCCCGCTTAAAACCATCCGCACGGTATGTGCGATCGTGCGGTCTACCCGACCGTTTGTTTAAAACCGTCCGTGCGTATAATAATACCATCTGCATGTTTTGGCATCGCAGGAGGTTGCCTATCACTGGGTTTCAAGCGCGCTGCTTGCGTTCAAAGCACCGTCTCGTCCTGTTTCTGGTTCAACGCATTCGCCCTCTGGCTGGGTTCGGCCCCAGCCAGTGCAGAAAGGTCGTCCTCATGGGTACACTTCCCTAGCCTTTCGACGTCGACTCGGTGATTGTGGGGGTGCTAATCAGCGCCTCCTGCGCACGCAAGAGAGAGAGAGAGACAGAGATAGAGAGAGAGAGAGACAACAAAAAGGAGCAGGTGAGCCGAAGCAGGGAGAGAATCAGTGGTGCGTTGGTACATGGTCTCGTCTTTCGCCTTCAGTCACGGTTCTCCTTGCCAAAAGTGTGAGCAGACGTGATTCAATAATATTCAGTGTAGCGGTTTTGGCTTGGGTGGAGGGCGTGGTGCTCTGTCCGTCGCCGTGCTTCTCGAAGGAGCCACTAGGGCGAACGTGGATAACACCCGCCAGCCAAACCCCACAGAACGCGTGATGTTGGATGATCCCAGAGCCAGGCAGACAAACAACCCGCGCAATTCAAGCGTGAGGGGTCGTTGGCTTCACCGTTTCAGTTTTGTTGCCCTCCGCCCCATGGCAACATATGATTACGCGCATCGTTAACCACCTCATCTCGTCAGGTGCGTTACCAAGATGACAGCAGTCGGCCCCAAGCGGCACGGTGCGGTGGACCTGGGACGGGCGGTTGCTTGACACGCGTGAAGTGTTAATTCGCGTGCGGTTGAGTCGTCACACCCTCTCTTCGTTCTACCGACACAGTCGTTCTGTTGCGCGCCGAGTGGAGCAAGACCACCGTGCCCGCAGTGGTGCGTGTTGTTGACTTTTCTCGAGCGGAGCACAGCGCAGAGTCTTCGCCGAACGGACTGCGCCATCATGGCATCACTGAAGCAAAACAAGAAAACGGCGCCCAGTCGGCCCAAAAGAGTTGTCAATTAACCTCAAGATACGCCTAGGCAGCCGCCAGGTTTCTTCGTCGTCTTCCTCCTTGTCGCCCGCCGCGCTGTCCTCCTCATTGTCCTCCGCGTTGTTCCTCACGGTGCTGTCTCCAAGTCTAGACGCTTCGCGCAACCCCACCAGCCCGTGCAGAAACGATGCCACGGCGAGGTGTTTTGGCCAGGGATGTAGAGAAGCACGCAGTGGAATAACGGGCTGAGGAAGTTGCCATACCCCAACAGTGGAAGGATGAAGGTGCAATCGGAGGAGGAGGAGGAGGAGGTGGAGGAGGAGCAGGAGAAGGAGGAGGAGGGGGAGGGGGAGGGGGAGGGGGAGGAGGGGGGAAGGGAGGAGATGACATAGGCGGATCTTGATGATGATGATGAGGAGGAGGAGGAGGAGAAAGAGGAGGAATGCGAGCAGAGAGACTAGAGGCATTTTGGATAACGGAAAGAGCGAGGTACGAGCGATGACGTTCAGGTGGGGCGAAGCCCTAAAGGGAGGGGTTCCAGGGGAGGGGCGAAGCGTGCGGGAATGGTTGGTGATGGCCGCCCCCCCCCCCCAAGACGGCCCCAGAGGCGCCCAAGACGGCCCAAGAGGCGCCCAAGACGGCCCAAGAGGCGCCCACTACAGCTCCAAGACGGTCCCAGAGCGCTCCGAAACTGCCAAAGTTGTGTCCGAGATGGTCCAAGAGGCCTCCAAGACGCCCTCAGATGGCTCCAAGACGGTCCAGGAGGCCCCGAAGACGCCCCAAGTGGCCTCCAAGAGGTTCCCCATGAGGCCCCGAGGAGACAACAATCAGTTATTGTTCAATGGTTGTTGAATGTTTTTCGGATTTCGCTTTGTCGGGCTATGAACTGCCGAAAACGACCCAGGAGGCTCCAAAGATCGCCCAAAGACGGCCCAAGAGGCCCCCAGAAGCGAGCGAAAACTGCCCAAGGCGGCCCCAAGACGGCCCAAGAGGGCCCCGAAACGGCCCAAGAGAGCCCCAAGACGGCCCAAGAGAGCCTCAAGAGAGCTCCAAGAGACTCCCAAGACGGCCCCCAGACGGGCCCAGGAATGCTGTCCAGCAAGTGTTTTTTGAGAGGGCGTCCCAAAAACACGTCCCACGGCTGCCCAAAAGATGCCCGAAGAGGCCCCAAGAGGTCCCGAGAGGGCCCCAAGACTGGCCCAGGGGACTCCGAGAGAGCCCCGAGACTGTCCCAAGACGGCCCAGGAAAGTTGGCCAGCAAGTGTTTTTTGACAGGGCCCCGAAAGCCTTAAGAAACGCCCCGAGGCGGCCCCACAAGACCCAACTGTTCGGAAGACAGTCCCCAGACCGCCCCAAAAAGAGCTCCGCGAAGACCTCCAGGAACCCATGAACGCAAAATAACACCCTGGGTGCAGGGGGTGGGCTACTCTCCACGTGTGCTCCAAAGCTCAGAGCGACGCGACAAGCTCTTGGCGCCAAGGTTCCCACGAGCGAACGATAACGTAAACAGCTCGTAACGCCAAGGCTGCCAATAGCGAGCGGTGGCGTAAAAAAAAGCCTTTCACACCATGACTTCACGAGCTAGCGGCAAAGTAAACATTTCTGAACACTAAGGCTCTCAACGGCCAGCGGCAATGTGACAATCCTGAACACCACGGCTCCCAAGAGCGAGCGGTGACGTAACAAGCTCTCCACACCAAGGCTCCCAAAAACAAAGGGTGCCGTGAGGCATCTCGGCCAATTTCCTGAGGCGCTCTTTCCGTTTCCGTGCCGGCCCAGGTGGTTCTCGGAGCCCCGTCGGATGTCTAACGGGAGTTTCGTGGAGTCCTCTTGGGGCATCTCGGGGGGCCTCTTGGCGGTCCCAGGGGCCTCTTGGAGCGTCGTGGGTGCTTCGGGGGAGTTTATTGGGGCCCCTTGGGAGCTTATTGGGACCTCTCGGCATCCTGTGCGCATCTTTGGGCCATCTTCAAAGAAATCGGTCAAAGAAGAAAAGGTTCCAAGTTCAAGCCGCCCCCCAAGAGGCCAACTGGCCCAAAACTGTAGGAAACATAATACTTTGGACCTTCTCGTTGGGGCCGCCTTGGACGCTCCGCAATGGGTCGTGACTCCACGCCCCCTTCCCGTCCAGGTCCAGGGGAGGGGGTAGGGGGAGAGGTCAAGACACCCTCCCTGCCCACGAGCCGTCTTACCCACTCCCACCCGCAGCTTGTTGCCAGCGCGGATGCTGTTGACGGGGTACCCCCCCCGCCCTGCCCCCCGCCGGGGTTTGGCGCGTGGAACGAGATCGGGGGCCATCATTGCAACTTGCTCAGCTACTCGCCGATCGACGCCCTGGATTCCGCCAAGTACGCCTGCTCATGCGCCGAGAGCGGAGCTTGCGGAGGCGTCTACCATGATTCTTGTCGGCCGTGGATGGGTGCGGCCATGGGCAAGTACTACGTGTGCAGGAGGGAGCCCTTGACTTGCGAAGAGACCGCGGATGTGCAGTTAGTGTATGCTCCAGACCCCAGCGTGTCGTGTGTGTGGTGGAACGGAACGGGCGACCAGGCAGCAATTTGGAGCTGCGGATGCTCCGAGGAGGTGAACGGCGATCTGCGGCTTGCTTTTCGTCAGTCTCGATCAGGGAGCGCGTCGTGCGCACATCCTGACAAGCGGAGATCAGATCGCGGACGATTCCAAAGCGCTCTCATTTCCCTCAGATTGGCGCAATTTGCCAGAGCGCCATGAAGTGCGAATTTGGCCGGCAACTGCAAGGTTTCCAGTGGTATCAGCCACATGCCGCACCCATCAGGCAAGGCAACAGACGCCTGGCCTGATGGTCGTGCCAAGAGCGCGGGACGCTGGAAGTTGTGTAGTAACGTACAGTACAATGCAGCAAAACGCCGTACAGAGCATGCCGACGGAGCCGAATCTGAAAACAAATGATCAGCGGTGGCTGTTGGATTGGCAGCTACTGGGAACCGGCACAGACCCCATGTGCGCGACGTTGGGGCGAGGTGCGCCAGGCACCCCTAAGTCCCCATCGGCTCCGGGTCGCGCCGCATCGAGGCCAACTGGCCCAATGACGGACAAGTTCCAGGTGCCATATGCAAATGTTCTAGGTGCCACTTAGGGCGGTTTAGGTTTACATCCCGTTCTTGTCCGTTCAGGTTTGACGGTCATTACATCACACGGTAATCTTCTTACGAGACGAAATACGTGACCAGTTTGGCCTTGCATGTCTGCGCTGGCGCATTGTCTGTCAGTGAGAGCAATGCGCGTGCGGATACATGGGGCAGCGTTCCCCACCGCCTCTTGACGGAGCAGCGAGGGCGTTTATTGTCTACCGCGACGACAGCAGCACCATAATAGGAAGGCGGGTGAAACAGGTGAGCATAATTTGTGTCTCAGGTTTTGCATATAGTGTGCTTGTCATGATCTCACGCGTACTCTTGTTGGCTCAAGGGAAAAAACATTTACTGCGCTTGCTGCTGCCACAGTTGGTAGCGGAGCCTGGTTCCAGGCTGGCGGGCCAATGGGCGGCGAGGGACAGCAGCTCTGAGGGCTGCGCCCGGAGGCCGCTCTCGCGCTCCCGGCCAGGGCCAGGCTCGCGCCGCCTGGGCGGCGCGGCCGCGGAGATGCCCGCGGAGGAGGACGACGGATTCGCTGGCGCGACCTTCGACCCAGCCCGCCCCAGCGGGCAGGCATCGGCGGAGGCGACGCCGGCGGCAGGCAACATCGTGACGATTTCCATGGACCAGCTCCGAGAGATCGTGGCCGGCACTGTACGTGAGACCATGGGCGCTGCAAGACCGTCAGGCACAGCTGCCGAGACGGCTGGCGCGGCCGGCTCTTCCTCTCGGAAGACAGCAACAGACGGTGATGATAGCGACGGGAGGCCGAAGGATCCTTGGTGGGAGGCAGCAGCAACATCGGATCCCTGGAGCTCTGGCAAGGACCCGTCGCAGTCCTGGCGCAAGCCAGGCGACAAGGACGACAAGTGGCAGGACGACGGCTGGAAGAACTCCGGCCAGAGTGACAAGTGGCAGGACGGCTGGTGGGCGAACTCCAGCTCCAGCTGGGGAAAGGGGGACTACTCTGACCCACCAGCGTGGCCCGGATGGGCTCAGTACAGACCCTGGCGCCGTGCACTACGACGCTGGAACGCCAACACGGACGTTCCCCACTGGCGGCGAGGAGAAAAGTTCTTGAAGCTCTTCGACTACGCCATGCAGGCTAAGTTCGACGACATTCCGGAGGCCCAGATCACGGGCCGCGACTGGATCGACGTGGTGTTGGGCCGTATGGACTTGATGATAGGTGAACGCGAGGGAGACGAACTTCGGCGGGCCGGCCGCCGAGCTCTGTTCGAGGCGTCTCGCGAGAACAAAGAGACGCTCATTCAGTACGTGAGTCGTCGTGAAGCTCAATTTCAAGAGGCCGAGACGAACGACCTCTGGATCTCCTCCAAGATGAAGGGGCTCATGCTTGAGGAAGGAGCCAATCTCACGGCCCAAGGCATGCAGAATCTCAGAACGCTCACTCGAGGGAAGCTCGAGCACGGCGACGTGAGCTGGGCCCTGAGGCAAATGGATGCATCAGGTTCTGAGCGGCTCCTGCCAGGTAGGGTGTCGAGCAATTACGCCGAGGGCGAGGGCCCCGGCGATCAGAATTATCTCCCTCCTTCCTCCTTCCCGGTCGGTGGTTCAGAAGGTTCCGACGACCAGGAAGACGACGAGGAGGAGTGCGACGACACCGAGCTGGACGACGAGGCTGCGCTCATGGCAGAGCTCGAGGACCTCGACCTGGACGAGACGCAGGTGGAGGAGGCCCTGGCCATGATCGAGTCTCGACCTTCGAGCCGTACATGGAAGCAGAACAAGGAGATCAAGCGCGCTGCGAAGCGCGACAGGGAGTACTTCGGCCCCAAGAAGACTGGACCGGGGCACCCGCCTCCCCCGCGACCAGGGGGTGGCGGCCGCGGGCGGCCGGACCGCGGCAAAGGCCGCGGCAAGGGGCGCCGCCCCAGGCTTTCTCCCGAGCAGCTGATGAAGATCACCCGATGCGGGATATGCAAGGAGAAGGGGCACTGGCACCGTGAGTGCCCCAACAAGGACGACCCCAAGTTCAAGAAGCGGGGCCTGGCCGCGTACACGTTCGACGGTGTCGTGTCAGACCCAGCAGGCTCGTGGGCGGTGCCCCCAGAGACCCTGCAGGACTGGAAGGAGGTCGGCCAGGAGCTGCTGGACAACAGCTGCGTGCACCTCGTGGCCAGGGCGACCCAGGGGCTAGTGGACCCAGGAGCGGGTTCAGACCTGGTTGGGCTCGCGGCGCTGAACCGGGAGTCAAGGGCTCTCGCCGCAGTCGGCATGAAGTGCGAGCTGATTCCTCGACAGCATCAGCGGCCCTGCGCTGCTCATGGCGTAGGAGGTGCCGCGAAGGTGGTGACTTCGGTTCTCTTCCCGCTGTGCATGGGAGGAGTGCTCGGCATCATCGAGACGACGGTGCTGCTGGAGGAGGTGCCGCACATTTTGTCGATCAACCTCCTGGAGTTTCTGGGCTGCGTCATCGACCTGCCCCAGAACAAGATGACTTCCGCCACCCTAGAGACGGACATCCAGCTGACACGTCTTGGTTCGGGCCACCGGATGGCCACGATTGTACAGGCGCTTGAGATGCCGCTGGGTGTGCCGGAGTCTGCACTGCGAAAGTACCCTTTTCTTTCACAGAATTCGTTTCAGTTGAACGCTGGCGACGCGCCAGAGATGCTCGAGTCGGGAGCCCTGAGGGCTTACATCATCCTGGTCATCATCACTCTTGCCGTCATCCCGTTCGTGATAATGGGCGCCCGGATGATGAGCCTCGAGAGGGCCTACGAGAGGGTTGTCTCGGGGATCAGTGCCTTTGTCGTGGGGATCGGCCTCACGATGGCCATGCACCGGATAGGGATCAAGCACGAGCCCTTCGGGCTCTCCCAGCCTGGGGCTCAGCTAGCGTCTCGGGGGCTTAGCGTCAGATCCATTGGGGCAACTAAGGCGATATGGCCAGCAAGGGCTGCGACAAGGACCCAGTCCCGACGATCCGGGGCACCTCCGGCAGAGAGCGAGTCCGTAGCCCATCTTGGCTCGAGCCATCAGTCAGACTTCGTCGATTCGATCACCGATCAATCAGAGTCCCAGTCGGCATCCAGCAATGGCCCAGAGGCTCTGGGCTTGGTTCCTTTTCCTCACCGGGGCGGCAGCGGCGCCCTCTCCAGCTCCTCGTCAGCTCCCAGGCGCCTACCACGCGACTCAGCGGGCGCTGCAGGAGCTCCACCAGCAGTACTTGGCGGGCGTTGGCGGCGACGGTGGAGAGCAGAGTCCGCTGGTGCAGACGGACTCCGACACCGACGCGGCAGGCGAGCAGGGGTTCGCTCAGCAGGATCAGCAGGCAGCGGCTCAGGCGGTACCGACTCCGAATCAGGAGGCAGCGGGACAGCTGCCACCCCAGCCAGCGCCGGCGAGCCTCGCTCCCCAGGGGCTCGGGTACCAGCCGCCACCGCCGCCTTATCCCCCACCCGAGGTGGTTGCAGGTCAGGGTCAGGCGCAGCCCCAGCCGGGACAAACGACTACTCCACAGCAGCAGCAGCCTTCAGCGAGCAGCGGGCCGCAGGGGTCCCCAGCGGCCGCACAGGCGCCTCCTCAGGCCGCGGGTGCATCGCCCATTCCCGTGAAGCGGGCACCCGTGCTGACGAAGCCAGCACCACCGCCACTGCCATTGTCGCCGCTCCCGAAGCCATTCCCGCGGACGGGCAGGCTTCCTCCTCAGCAGGGCGGTCCAGCTCCCATTCCGATCGGGGGCCAACAGGCGGCACCACCTTCGAACGATCGCTCGACTCCAGCTGCCGAGTGCTCCCATCCAGCCGATCAGGTCCAATACTACGGGAACCAGTGGGGAAGCGGTTCCAAGTGTCGAGCATGCGGTACCAGAATCGCTTGGATACCGAGGGGAGCTGCCGGCGCGGCCGGACAGGGACCTGGAGGACCAGACGATCGTCCGGAGTCGGCTGCTCAGGCAGCCCGTGCGGCGGCCAGGTCGGCCCAGAGGGCTGTGGATATCCTTCAGGAGGCGGACGGTTTCCAGCAGGGGGCGGCAGCTCTCACCATGGTCAACCAGCTCGCGAGCTACCTGCAGGCGTTGCAGTGGCAGCTGCACAACATTCCGGAGGGTCTGAGGGCCCTCGGCAACGTGCAGGAGACGCTCAACCAGATGATCCAGGTGGCTCAGAGTGTGCAGAGTCATCCGAGCCAGGTGGAGGAGGGCCTCCTCCAGATCCATCAGGCCCTGATCACGATACAGAGGGTGCTGGGATCCATGGAGTCATTCGGAGAGAACCTCGACTTCGTCCAGACCACGCTGGACAACCTGGTGTCCCGCACCGGGAACATCGAGCAGGCCACCAACCAGATGGTGATGATGATGGTGTCCATCGGCACCGCCGTGCAGGGCCTGGTCGAGAACCAGAACCGGTGGCTGCGGCAGGCGGCCTCGGCTGCAGCAGCGAGCAGTACGGGGCCTCAGCACTTCGACCTCGACGCCCCGCAGGACTGGCACGTGACGCCGAACATGAGCTCCGGCGCTCAGGGCGGAGGCGGAGCACAGAGCAGCAGCGGAGACCCGTGGGTCACGCAGACTACGACGACCACGGGCACGTACACGGAGAAGGACCTCATCTGAGTGAGCCAATGCGAGGCTCGCATACACGATCGAGGGCCCAAGAGGCCCCAGCTCTGGCGCTGCAGTTGGCAGCAGATTTTTCCAGCGACTGCGCCTGTCATGATCACGAGGCGCATGGACAAGGGCTCTCCTTCTCCCTCCAGAGCTCCTCTTTGGGCCCCCTCCCCCAGGGCCGACACACATTCTGCTTCACGACGTTCGCTGCGGGCAGTCCGGGAGTCTCGGCCGAGAAGCTTCGGAGTGTCGCTAGTCCGGGGGCGCCCGAATCCTTTTACCTGGACGGAGACGTCACTAACGATGACCACGAGGTGGCCTGTCCAGGACAAGTGTCGAAGGCCCTGGAGCGACAGGCCACATCTTGCCTAGAGATCTCAGTGCCAACGTT